TCAAGCCTTTCAGTTTCTCTGCAGCCCTGCGTCACCCTGTCACTGCCATGGCTTGGCCTGCGTCCCTCCAGTTCACTGAGGAATGTGTGTCCTCCCCTTTTCTGTGAACAGGTGACCAAGCAGCCCAGCAGGACCTCTCCCAGGGTGAGAAGAACGAGCCATGTGTTCCCGAGCTGCAGGACCTCCAGGGCAAGGGTGCTACCCAGGTCTCCTACTTGGGTGAGTCATAATTCCACCACTGGGTGGACAGAGTAGGGTGGTAGGTGGTGCCGGCCAGAGGTGGGCCACTCCCTGCCATCTCTCTGCAGCCCTCTGTAACCCCAGGCTCTGTCTCAGTAGAGCATGTTTTGCCTCCTCCATGACTTTTCCCAGAAAAAATGTAGGTTTATTTTTTTGTGGGTGTGGGATCACACTCATCAACCAGGGACTAGGACACAGTGGGAACATCCTTCTCTGCTATAAACAGCACCTGGGCTATGCTGGCAAGCCAGCAGCCCCTCCACAGGTGAGGTCACATTCTCCGTAGGTTAGGTAGAGAAGGAGCACTAGTGCAGGACCTCCAGGTGTCTCATTCTCTAGTCCTTCCACCACATGCTGCGAGTGTGAGGAAACTAAGGCACGGGGTGCTGGGGCTTGGCTTACAACAGCACAGCATTGGCAGCAGCATTTCCCAGTCCCCCTATCTGGGCTTTCTGTGCAAGTTGTTAACCATTTGCCATAATGCCTGAGACCCTGCTCCTTCAGGACAAAAGGCTTTGTATGGTTTCAACAGCAGCCCCCACTCCTTCCCCTTCAGGACCTAGAGCTGGCACAGTACAGTCAAGTGTGGGTCTTCATTCCCACGTGGACGAGCATGCAGGGCCTCGGGGTGGCCAGCTCCCTGTCCTGTCAGCCCAGCAGGCTCTGTGCAGGCTGTGTTTATGCAGGATCTGCGAGGGATCCTGGGGCCTGTGGAAATCCCACCACAGAAGTGGAAATCACCATAAGGGTGGCGGTCACTTCTTCACAGGCAAGTCGACAGGCAGATCCAGGACTCATGCTTACTCCATATAGCTTCAGAATCTTTTTGCCTACAAATTAATTTGCTCCACAAACGTTGACTGAGTCGCTGCCCAAGAAGGGAGCTCAGAGCTGCCCTTGGATCACAGCCTGGCATCTGTTAAGATGCCTCCCCAGGTAGTGCCACAGCTGCACGACAAATCCACCTTTCTATTTTCTTCTCTGGAAAGACTTTCCAAGTCTCCAGCCATTCCAGGTCGAAGAAAGAGGAAAACAGGATGAGCTACAGGGACCAGAGTCCCAGGCCTGCGAGCAGACGACACTTGCTCAGAGCACCTGCCCAGGTAAAGAGGGCCTGGGAGGGTATGGGGTGTGTGATACATATGTGAGCATATGAGTACATGTGGTATCTGCTGTGTGGTGTGTACATGTCCATGTTGTGTGTGTATAGCGTCTGGTATGTTGTGTGTGGAAGTGTGAACGTGTATGATGTGTGCATGCACGTTTGCTGGTGTGGGTGCAGTCAGGGATTGAACTCTCTGAGGTCCTTGCTGACCGACGGCTCCTGTGAGTTGTCAGCTTATTGTGCTGGGTTCCCTTTTGCGAGGGTCTCTCCCAGCTGAGCTCCAGCCCAAGACCCTCCCCTCCTGGCCTTATCCTGGCAGGTTGAAGCAGGTGCGCCACAGTGCTACTGGCCATTAGGGGTGTGTTTCTTCCCTGAGCACAAAAGCCAGAGTCCTGGGCAAAGTCTTGGACCTAAAGAGCAGGAGTGTGGCATGCCTGCGAAAGGGACTCTGAGGAGTGTCCTCCTCCTGCCTCATAGGGTCATGTTGGTAAAAGTCCAGAGGCAAAGACTGAAATGTGGCCATCATTTTTTTTAAAAAATATGTTTTTATTGATCTTTAGAGAAAGAGGAATCTTTTAAGTGAGAGGGATAGAGATATAGGAACATCAATAGGCTGCCTCCTACACACCTGATCCTGGGGATCGAACCCACAACCCAGGCATGTGCCCTGATCGGGAATCAAACCAGTGACCTCTTGGTTCATGGGCTGATGTTCAACCACTGAGCCACACCAGCGGGCAGTGTGGCCATCTTTAATGTCCTTGGGGTTAAGGTGTTCTTCCAGACACCAAACCTAAGTCACTGGTTCTTTTTTGTTTTCTTTTTTTAAATTCCAGTTGACATACAGTATTATATTAGTCTCTGGTTCATACTCAAACCCACTGTATGATGAGACTTTCCACAGCTGTGGGGTCTGACTCATGTACAGTCTTTTACCCAAGATGCCTTTTGGAGCAAAAGTTGTCTGGCAAAGAATGTATGCATCCCCTATGTTCATAGCAGCACAATTTACAATAGCTCAGATCTGGAAATAGCCCAAGTGCCCATCAGTAGATGAGTGGATAAAAAGCTGTGGTACGTTTACACCATGGAATGCTATGCAGCAGTAAAAAAGAAGAATATTTTACCCTTTGAGACAGCATGGAGGGACCTGGAGAATATCATGCTAAGTAAAATAAGTTAAGAGAAAGACAAGTATCACATGATCTCACTCATATATGGAATGTAATTAACAAAAGAAACTGATGAACAGAGTGGATCCAGAGACATGGAAGCATGGGACAGAGTGTGGAATCTCAGAGGGAACGTGGGGGAGGATGGGTGAGTGGGAGGTAATCAACCAAAGATCTTGTATGCATATATGCATAACACAAACAGTAGGGTGCTGAAGGCCTGTGTGTGGGGCGGGGGAGGGGATGGGGCGGGTTGGAGAGGGTCAGTGGGGGAAAAAGGGGGACATAATACTTTCAACAATAAATAATTTAAAAAATAAAAAAAGAATTCTCCAGATGATTCTGGGGTGAAACCAAGATTCAGAAAAAAGAGTTGTCTGGCATTGTGGTAATTCCACCCAGCTCTGTGCAGGGCTCCCTGCTATTTCTGTTCACCCCGTCACGTGTAGACAAAAGGAATTCTACATTTACAGCAGATCCAGAAGGAGAATAGCCCCTTCCCCAAAACTTCGAGCTCCCTCACCCCTGGTTTTATCGGGTGCCTGCAGCAGGCTGAGAGTGGCCTTGCATGGCTGAGGATGGCCCCTCCCCAGGATGAGGGTGGCCATCTCAACGGGGCTAGATGAATGCTTGTTGCCACATGTGCACTTCTGGCCTTCTCTGGCCTCTGCCTGCCCATAGCAGCCTCATGATATACAGGGTGGGTGCCTGCATATGTATTAAATCATGTGTAATCTTCAACAATAACCCCAAAAGGCAGTTCTGATTCCTAGCTCTGTTTTACAGAAAAATATTTAAAAGAGAAAGAAAGTTGCCCAACGTGTCAGAGGAATTGAGCTCAATCGGGGGATTGGGGATACTGAAGCCTGTGGCCATGCTGTGCGTGTCCTGGGGATGGATGATGGATGGTTCCCTGTGAGCTGGAGGGATTGAGGAGAAAAGCAGGGAGGCTAGGAAGCCAGATGTGAAAAACAAAAGACAAAGGCATTATAAAGGATATATTCTTACAATGTTAGGATGGGGAAGCTTTCTTGTAAGACATAAAACCAAAAAGGAGATGAATAAATGTTGCATTTTAAAACTGTGAAAAACAAATGTGCCGAAACAATATACATAAAATTTAAAAAAAAAGAAAGAAAAGAAAAATGGGAGGGATTATGTGCAAATAAGATGCAACAGATTCAGACCCATAATTTTGACTTCATAGAAAAGGCAGGCTATGGCTAGGCAATGTGGAGTCAAGCCCGGACCTGGGGCTTGACAGCCCACATTCAGATCCTCAGTCTGACACCCATGGCCTGTCACGGTGCACCCTGGGTCAGCGACTTCTGTTCAGGAGCCCCAGGGGCAGAATGAAAACATCAGAGTACCTATTACAGGGTTCAGTGTTTGTGTCGCCCCACACACCCCCTTTGATACTCATCACTCCCTGATTTTACTGTTTCTCTGGTGTTTGGAGCTCACTGCTGAATCCCATCTCATCTAGCAATAATTCCTAACATTGTGTAAATGGCCCACAGGAGCACTAAGGGCTGTTTATGCCCCCTTTTAGAAATTGCATTTATTTTTTGTCACTTTAGCTGATTTGAGGGGTTGTCATCCTGTATGCACTGTATTAGTCTTCTAAGGAGGCTCAAACAACAGAAATTGATTTTCTCAAAATGCTGGAGGTCTGAGGTCCAGGTATCAGAAGGGGCTTCTCCTGCAGCAAGTCTTCTTGGCCGGCTGTCTTCTCCCTGAGCTTCCACATGTCTGTTTCTTAATATCTTCTTGGAAGGATGCCAGTTGGCTTACAAGCCACTCTAATAATCTCATTTTAACTTAACTCTTGAAAGACCTTAATTTCAAATATAGTCACATCCTGAGGTATTTGGGGTTATGACTTAAGCATAATAGGAATTTTGGGGGGATGCAGTTCTGCCCTTAGCACTCCACCCTCGGATCCCCTAAGTTCATGTCCTCACATTCAAAATACATTCACCCTTTCCCCATAGCCCCCAATGTCATACCTATTCCATCAGCAACTCTAAGTGACCTCCACATTGCTTTCCTGCAGCTGGAGATGATTCACCGCCCCCTAAGAACAGCCTGGATGAGGAGGTGACCATCGAGATCGTCCTATCCAGCTCTGGGGATGAAGACTCCCAACTGGGCCCCTACTGCACAGATGAGACACGGAGCCCCTTGGGGAAGCAAAACGGCACCCCCATGCCTCAGCAGAATGGCCTCTCTGTCGGGGGCGAGGTGCATACCTCTGGGAAGTCCTATGTGTGCCCCAACTGCGGCAAGGTCTTCCGCTGGAGGGTCAATTTCATCCGACACCTGCGCAGCCGCAGGGAGCAGGAGAAGCTGCACGAGTGCTCGGTATGTGGGGAACTGTTCAGTGACAGCGAGGACCTGGACGGGCACCTGGAAGCCCACGAGGCCCGGAAACCTTTCCGGTGTGGCGCCTGCGGAAGAGCTTCCGCCTCAACTAGCACCTGCTCTGCCACAGGCGGGTCCACCTGCCGCCCACCGGGCCCCTGCCGGTGATTGGGAGCGAGCAGGGGGCGGCAGAGTCCACAGGTGGGGGGCCTGATGCATCGCTGGCTGAGGGCCGGGCCGGCTGAGCATCCAGTGCTATGACTGCGGGAAGCTGTTCCAGCGACCTGAACACCTGGCGAGGCACCGCAGCAGTGTGCACGGTAAGGACCGGGCACGGCCCTTTCGGTGCCGGTACTGCGTCAAAAGCTTCCTGCACAACTCCGACCTCCTGCGCCACCAGCGCCTGCATATGAAACGCCGCTCCAAGCAGGCTCTCAACTCTTACTGACTGACGCCAGGCACTCCCGGGACGTACCTGCCCCTGGACAGACCTCACCTTCCCACCCTTTGCTCTCAGGTAGAAATGAGATAGTGATCAACTGAGCATTTCTTTTGTCTCTGCTGTGCCAAAAAGCAGGGAGGGAGGTGCATAACCAGCTTGGACTCGCCCGGTGTTTCTGGGTCAGAAGAGAGCCCTGTCCAGTGCTTCCCAAGCGGTCTAAGGGACTGGACTGCCCCAACTGCAGTGACCATTTGGGGTTTGTCCCTTGCCACCAACTCACTATACTCCCATGCTGCCTTGTCTGAACCCCTGCCCGTATCTTGAGGTTCTAGGGTGACTGTACTTCCCATCTGAGAGCAAGAAGCTGTGGGCGAGAGAAAGGCAGGGAGTGCATGTGGGCAGCAAGGCCAGGCACACCAATCCTGCCATGTCACCAGCTGACCCAAAGAACACCCGCTGTTACCAGGCAGCCCTGTCAGGGTCAGAAGCCTCTGGGGCACTGTACAGCTGCTTGCGAAGGGGAATTGTGTCATACTTTTATTTGCGAAGGCAGCTGCTTATTAGGGATTTTGAGTTCACTGAGGGCAATGCCCACCTTTTATTTGTTGCACACCCTGCTCAAATGTCATTTCTTTGTACCTGAAGGACCCGGTAAATGGTTGTAGGGTAGAAGCAGTTGTCATCATTCGAAAGGCACTTAAGTTCCCCTGCCCGTCCCATTGTGTCCAGGAATGGGGAGCTCAGCCCCAGTGGGGGGTTCTGTTGTTTGGATGAGGAGCCGTGGAAACAACCTCCTGTGAGGTTGGGCTCTTCATACATAGTAACTTAGTCTGCTGTTCATATTCATTTGCTAGGGCTGCCTTAACAAAATACCAAAAACAGGGTGACTTAGAGCAACAGAAATATATTGCTTCAGTTCTGGAGGCTGGAAGTCCAATGTCAAGGGGTCAGTGGGTTGGTTCCCTGTAAGGGAAGGTCTGTTCCACACCTCTTCCCCAGCTTCTGGTGGTGCTGGCAGTCGATGATGTTCCTTGTAGAAATATTAACCCATCTCTGCCTTCATCTTCATGTTGTGTCCCTGTGTACATGTCTGTCTCCAAATTTCCCCTTTTTATAAGGACACCATATTGGATCAGGGCCCCCCATGCCTACTCTGGTATATTCCTGTCTTAACTAGTAACATCCACAATGACCATATTCTAAGAAAGGCCACATTCTGATGTATTGGGGTTAGGACGTAAATATGAATTTGGGGTGGTGGGGAGACAATTCAATCCACAACAGCAGATAGTCTTGCAATTATCTGGTCATCCCTGATTAACAGATGAGTCAACAGAAGCTGTGGTTGGCTTGCTGTCCATTCCACTGGAAGCAGCATAGCTTTGAAAGTGCGTGGCCTGGAGTTCTGGATTGGGAGTGACCATTGGCTGTGAAATCTCAAGCAACGAAAACCATGGTCTTATTGTTCCTGGAAGACTGGTAATATCGGCCATGCTCAATGTGAAGAAAGCACAGGGACTATGGAGTGGTGGTAGCTGATTCAAAGCCACCAGGTGGACATTTTGTGCTATTTGTATGTCCATCAGCAGGCAGCCAGGCTCCTTGTCACCTATATTGTCACATGAGATGCCATCAAACCCGATGGAAGAGCCACAGGTTTTATAATTCTGATTACTGTAGACATCCCTGCATCCTGAGGAGCAGTAAATGCAATAAAACTGTTAGGTCATACCCTGAACAAAAAATAAATATTGGGGCTCTTCATTTCTAAATAGTTTGCCTCTTATTGATCTGCCAGGAAAAGGGGGAAAGTGAATCTTTAAGGCTGTTGAGGAGGAAATTCCAAATAGAAGCCAGGTTATACATTTGCCCCACCCTAACACTCTTGCTCAAGGGCTTGTCAGCTGGAAGATGGTTCTCCATCTGCTTCAGACATTTGTCTAATGGAGGAACATTGCCCCATTTACTGTTTGTCTTACCTGTAAAACCAGATCCTAAATAAAAAAAACACCAAGGGGATGTAACTGCATCTTGAGTCCCCACCGAATACTGTGGGGAACCCCCCACTCACTGACCCCAATACACCTAGTACCTACCTAATTGGAAGGTCACTTAGGATTCAGAAGCGCTCCAGGGTGATGTAGCTCAAATTCCATTCATCCCATTCCAAAGAGGCCAGTGGGGTTACCTGCTCCTCCAGGCACCGGAGAACTGACCACTTGCTCCCTCCCTGGGGGATGGGCAGGCAGGTGAGCTACATCTCCACTTTACTATGGAAGTACAGGCCCCACATCTGAGAAGCATCTGCCCTCCCTGTTCCTTGGATCTCTGGACATTGTTTCCACAAACTCATAAGTACATAATAAAAATTAACTTGCTGAATTAATATTCATGTTAGACTTTCCATTTAGTTTAAAAAGTAATGTGCTGCACAGCTGAGATAGTTGATTGGCCTGACAAGGTGAGCTTGAGGTATAAGGATGAAAATAGTCCTCTGGGTGTCAGACTTCACCTTGTGGCACATTTAAGCCTCAGATAGATGGCCTGCTCACCTGATCTGACCCCTGTCCAAAGTACAGAGTAAGTCACTACACCAGGGGTATCTTGTACTCCTTGTCACACTACAGCTGGTTAACCTGACCTCACCATTGTCCTATATCCTTTCTCCCAACCTCTCTCCCTAGCTGAGTGATGTGACCAGTGGTGAGAAGGTATGAGTCTACGTCTGCTTTGGAGATCAGTCTGTCACTTTTTTTTTCTTTTTTTTTCGTAATGTAGGCCACAAAATAGTAATGGGCTATATGTTTAGTGATATAGTCCACTGTGGAGTGTGGTCTTTATTCTCCCAAAGAGCCTAAGTTGGTAAAGGTTATTAAAAAACCTTCACCCAAAATAAAACTTTTGGTAGTCTGTCACTTTTCTCCCATAAGATGGTTTTCCCTTTCTGCCAGAAGCAGAGTTCAGAGTGTAATGTAGGGGATTTGATGATAACTTATGTTGCTACATCTTGTCAAAATATGGAGGGGCTGGAACACTTGCCTAGAAAATGTTGCTGGTCAGAAAAGGCACATCTGAGAGTCAGGGTAAGTCTACTCCTTCCAAATTAAGCTGGAGCCCCTTTGAATGTGTCTGTGTGCTCTGAGAAGAGACAGGACCTGCCTCCAGCCCACTGAAGGTAAATTCAGAGTGAGATTTCTAGATTTTTAATTTTTTTTTTTTTGATTGATTTCAGAGAGGGAGAGAGAGATAGAAACGTCAGTGATGAGAGAGAATCATTGATCGGCTGCCTCCTGCATGCCCCACACTGGGGATTGAGCTAGCATCCCAGCATGTACCCTGACCTCCTGGTTCATAGGTCAACGCTCAACCACTGAGCCACGCCAGCCAGGCATATTCTGGATATTTTTAAGTGTTTTCCCAGAAGAAGATTGAGTGTGAAAGAGTATAAACTTGCGGAAATTTTACCAGCACATTGCATTTTCAGCAAACATTGACCCACCCAGTTGGGGGAGTGGGGGCTGAGGCTAGGTAAACCATATTTATCTTGGTCTCCCATTTGGTTATCCCATTTATCTCAAATGGCTTGGCTTTTTAAAAAATTAGGATGGTACTCTGTGGCCATGATATAAAGGCTTCACTAACCCTCTGTGCTCAAGAAGCCAAAAGTCTGACCAGATGTGCATTCACTAAATTTGCACAGAACTAGGTGCTCCAGCAAAGATGGCCACTAAGGTCTAGCTGGTTTGGCTCAGTGGATAGAGTGTCGGCCTGCAGACTGAAGGTCCCAGGTTCGATTCCAATCAAGGTTGGATTCCAATGCCCGGGTTGTGGGCTTGACCCACAGTGGGGGGTGTGTAGGAGGCAGCTGATCAATGATTCTCATCATTGATGTTTCCATCTCTCCCTCATCATTCCTCTTTGTAATCAATAAAAATATATATTTTTTAAAAAGATGGCCTCCGGGAGAAACCAAGATGGTGGCATAGGTAAACACCGGAAATTGATACCTCGCACAACAACTTCAAAAATACAACTAAAAGACAAAATGGTCATCATCCAGAACTACAGGAAGGCTGGCTGAGTGGAAATTCTACAACTAGAAGGAAAGAGAAAAGCACACTGAGACTCAGAGGAGGTGCGGAAGTAAAGTGCAGAGGTATGGAGGAACATGCCGAAAGGGCTGGCAGCTGAGGACACGGTTGTCTTTTTCAATCAGGAGGGAGACACAAGCTCCCGACTGCTCTGAACTCCAGTTCCTGGCGAGTCTCTGGGGACCCAGACTCATATGGGGAGAAACTGGACTGTCTGGCATCGGTGGGAACTCGAGGGCGGCTTTCTCTCAGAGGTGCTTGCAGCGATTACCTGGACACTGAGTGAGACGCGAGGCCTCTTAGGGTAGTACTGAGGATCAGCCATAGCTGTTTGCTCTGCCCTGTTGATTCCCTGAGACCCTGCCCCACCCAAGCTGACAAATTGCAGCTGGGCCAGACAGACCCAGAACTTCCAAGAGAAGGCCCAAGGCCCCACAGCAGCTTGCATTGCTTCACAGCTGGGCCTCATCTGGGCACCCCCAAACCCCCAAAAAAGGAAGGGGAATCTGCATATCTCTTCATAGCTCCTGCTGGGTAACCTCAGGAAGAGGCTTAATTAGCACCTCCTTAGATCCAAGAGCCAGTGTACCCAGTGGTCAGAGTGGGACCACCCAGATTACAACTCCTCAGATTCATAAGGAACACACTCAGGGGGCAGACTCAGTGAGCACCAAAGCCCCACTGAAGCAAGTCTTGCCCCAGAAGGGTGTCTTCAGCACAGAAGTTCTCCCACTGCAGACACAGCTGATTCTCACTGCCAATTGGCCTGGAGGTCAATTCCTCCCAGTGACACCTAAAACAATCAAGGCATAACTACAACAAGACTGTGCACAAAGCCCACAAGGGGGTGCACCAAGAGTGTCCACCTCAGGTAACTGGGGAGGCTGAGCCACTGGGCCCTGTAGGACACCTAGCACACAAAACCACTCTACCAACACAGGGAAGCAGACAAAATGCGAAGACAAAGAAACAGGTCACAAATGACAGAAATGGAGGACAGCAAACGACTGGATATAGAGTTCAAAACCACGGTTCTAAGATTTTTCAAGAATTTTATGGAAACCGCCGATAAATGTATTGAGATCCTTAAGAAATCTAGTGAGACCCTCGATGTTGTGATAAAGGACCAACTAGAAATTAAGCATACACTGACTGAAATAAAGAATATTATACAGACTCCCAACAGCAGACCAGAGGATCGCAAGAATCAAGTCAAAGATTTGAAATACGAAGAAGCAAAAAACACCCAACCGGAAAAGCAAAATGAAAAAAGAATCCAAAAATACGAAGATAGTGTAAGGAGCCTCTGGGACAGCTTCAAGCGTACCAACATCCGAATTATAGGGGTGCCAGAAGAAGAGAGAGAGCAAGATATTGAAAACCTATTTGAAGAAATAATGACAGAAAACTTCCCCTACCTGGTGAAAGAAATAGACTTCCAAGTCCAGGAAGCGCAGAGAACCCCAAACAAAAGGAATCCAAAGAGGACCACACCAAGACACATCATAATTAAAATGCCAAGAGCAAAAGACAAAGAGAGAATCTTAAAAGCAGCAAGAGAAAAACAGTCAGTTACCT